GTGAAAGCAGTGTTCTTCTGTATCAGTAGAGATGCTGTGTGAGTGATATTCAGCTGCAGCTTGACAGCTAAGTATTGCAGACACTCAACATCATGCTGGAATCATTACTCTGTAAAACTGCTTTCTTTTTCAGAGATGAGAAAGTCATCTAGACATAGATTCTCATTCATAAGTGTACAGACAGCAGTTATATTATCTAGATGAAAATCTTCTATCAATTCATTGATGTAATGTCAAAGTGTCAATTTGATTTCACTCTTTATATATTTCACTTTCATTTCTAGATATTTTATGAATTTCTTTAAGTCTTTAATCTCTAGTTTTTACTGTAAAATGTTGATAAGTCAATCAGCATTCTTCAGAGCATCTGCAAAGATATGAAGATTATCAATATATATGATCATATACAGGTGTTTTCAGGCTGAATGCTTTCAAAGAGTAGAGTCATAAGAACTCAGACTGAAGCCATTTTCTTGCAGTATAGCTGTTAAGTAGTCATATTATATTTTAGTAGCTGAATTCAATTCATATAGAGATTCTTCAACTGCACAGATGAGCATACACTAAGTTTCTTATTCAAAGTCTGTGAGTTATCTTATATAGACTGTTTTCTCTAATCTATTATACAGATATGTCATTACTATATTCACTTACTGTAGAGTTCAATCATGCTTTGCAGTAATTATAAACATTATTCAATTTGTTATATCTGTAATCACAGAGGCATAAGTCTTCTGATGAGTGTCTTTCTTCAATCAGTTATCATATACAACTCATTAAGATTTTCACAATATATCATTCTCATCAGCATTGAGATTATTAGAGCAGTTCTTTTCAATGAATACTCAGTGATCAGATATCACTAATTCATCATATAAGACATCAGAATATGAAATAAGTGTTCAGGTCTTGTGTCTCTCAAGATCAGATATTTTGCATTGTATTGATTTCTTTCAATAATCTCTCATCATCTCTGATCTACTCATAGCATTCTTATGTGATTTCAGAAGAGAATCAGTAATGAGAGTGAGAGTGTAAGCTGTAAATACCTTTGCCAGCTGCATTCAATCTGTACTCATCAATTCAGAAATGTTGGAATTCTTCATTAAATAGGTGATAGAAACAGTGTCAGTTGCTGCAGTTGTAGTAGTTGTAGTAATCTTCAGCATTTCTTGCACTTTTGCAGAAAAAATCACATCACTTGTGTCAATAATTTTATCTGTTGTAGAACTTCACAAGCAATAGATTGAATGTTCACAGAATTCAATAAGCTTATATGAATCAGCCTGTGTGGACAACTTATTCAATGACTTCTGTGATTCATGAAGATGAGCAAAAACATCAGTTTCAAGCTCATGAAAATGTGTGATCTGCAGTGAGGCATTTGTCAATACTGAAAAAGAAATTGTATGAGAACTATGAACAGCTTCTTTGCTATCATCATCTGCAACTGCAGGCCAATACTTTTCATTATATAGAACTGTAGATGTGAGTGTATTATTTGTGATTGAAACAACTGTTTTCAGAATGTTTATTCAGAATTTCTTCAGAATCTTCTTGCTGATAAGAACTGCTCTGATGCAGGTTATAATTGTATGTATTCCGCGCTCAGACACATCATCTTAATATGATGATTGAGAAGTAGTTGATTCTCATACTGTGCTATGATTGATGAACAATGCTGTAATCTTCATAAATCTGAATACATTATTAACATCAGTTCTGACATATACTGATGCAGTAAAACCTAGGTTCTTTATAAATTGAACTCAGTATGCATAGTAATTATAAACTTGATTCTTGATATATAAGAAATAGATTCATCTATATCTGATCATGTCATCTGTGATTAACATGTAATATTTATTACTCTGCCGCAATTCAACAGAGTGATCTGTAGACTCACTTAATGTCTGCCTGTTATCTGCAAGATTGATATGAATTCTCTTCATTGAGTGTACAGCCTGTGGCATGAGAGTGATTGAGTATTTATATATCATACTCACTTTAATGCAGGTTTTGCAAAAGAAATTGATCTTGATGTCTTTGACACAGATGTCAGATAGTGAATTCTTTGTCAATACTATAATAGCTTCTGTATATATATGTCTCAGGTCAACATGCTACTTCGCAAGTGTTTTCACAGTTGTAGATGATTCTTGATATTGAGGTTGATCAATGATGAGATCATTGTTATCAATAGTGATCATGGCTTTAGCATAGTTATTATTATATATGTATGATTTCACTGTGAAGTAGACTGCTTTAGACTCATAATATACATCAACTTCTGACATTCTCTCAACTATTTTATAAATTAAGTTTTGAGATGTATGAATTGCAGTGAAAATCACTTCACTTGATGCTTTAATGATGAAATAGAATGAGATGTTCAAGCTTGAAAGCTTATATTGAAAACTCTGATTCTTCAACCTGGCAAATGATAATAGATTGACTGTGAGATTGAGAATATAATAAATATTACAGACAGTGATATTCTCTTCTTCAGATTTTAGAAGAAGATTGCTGATCTCTTTGATATGACTGTAATCTCTGTTCACTGTATAAACCTTCATATTATCATCATACATCTTCTGCTGAATGAGAGACTGCTTTTCACCTGTCATGTGAAAACTCACACATGTGTCAAGAAATCAAGGTTTGTTTATTGTATCAATAGTTGCTGAAAAAGCAATTGTTACATTGACAGCTGCAGATTGTGAGATCATAAGATCAGAGAATTTCTTCTTCTTATTATCTTTGTTCTTCTTTTTACTCTTCTGCTTGTCATGTCTGCTGATACTGGCATTGTTACTATTATTCTTCTCAGATGTAATGATATATTTCTTGTTTAACTCATATCACTGTTCAGTAGCAAGTTCTGAATGCAGATATACAGGTGTTTTTTCAGTGTTA